TGCAGCACCCTGCAGGGAGCATCGTCTCAGAGCTTTGTAGCCCATGGGAGTCTCTGTAGCTCCCTCCCCATCAACAATGTACTGCACTCTCATAGAAATCCCTGGTCTCTATGGTTACCTGTACTGGTCACATTTCTTTCTCAAGGAATAGGACCCGTTTGGTTGCGTCTTGTGGGAGGGACTACAGGCAATTTATCTCAGTGGCTTGTTCTGCTTCTCTTGTTTTGCCCATCTCCAGGGATTGTATCTTTTCTCCATGCTGCGTATTTTCAGATTCTACCACTTGCAGCTGAGCCTTCAAATGTGTTGCACTCCCCTGTCTTATGTCCCAGCTCCGTCTTCAAGGAAGGTGGCTTACTCAGGAGCTTTTTGCTCTTTAGCTGTTGCTTGGTAGCCTTCTTCATTTCTGCCATTATTACTCTGTCCATTTCTGCTGATGTGGATTGGGCTGCAATTACCACTTGTTGTAATGCCTGTGCTGCTTCCTGCAGCTGGGAATACTTCTGTCACCACTCCTCGATCTTGTTACACAGTTCCTCCACCACATTGTCCTGACATGCCAACCATCTCTGTAAGGCCTCTATGGTGTAACCTACATTTTTTACCTTTTGGTCAAGAACAGGCCTCTCATCTCTCAGGGTTTCCTGGGCCTCTACCTGTCTTGGTGTTAGTGCCGCCATTTCCTTCTCCAGGAACTGCAGCTTCTCCTCATGCTTCCTGCTCTTTTCTGCCTCTATCACAATAAGACACTCGAGTGCACTTGTCCTTTCCACCTGAAATGCCATCAGGCACTGAATTTCTTTGGATCTACCATCTTTCTTCCCTGTTTGCAGACATTGTTACAGGGCAGCCACCTTGGCTTCAGCCTGCTTGGTCTGGACTTTTCTCCATCCAGCTCTCTTTGCAGGTGAGCTCCTCTCCCACTTCCTCCGATCACACCCTCCAACTGAGTGTCTTACTTTTCAGTCCCTTGGTACTCTCTGTCTCTGTCGTACCTTTCTCAGGTCTTCCTTTCTCTATTGTTCTATCCTTTGCTCCTTCCCCACAGGAATGAGAGCTCTCCTATTCTAGGCCTACCTCTATCTTCCCCATAGTCTTTGGCTGTAGTCCCATCTGGGCCTTTGGTTTCCCTTGACCCTGGCCACACCCGTCAGGCCAAATGAGCAGTATTGGCCAGTATCTCCTAGCCCCTCCAGCAGCATTCTCAACCCTGGCACTGCTCCTCTATATTGACTCTTGGGGTTTCTATTTTGGCCCAAGAGTTCACTCCCTCCCTCTCAGAGGCACAGATGTTCCCCGTGCACGGCCTTCCTGACCAAGGCACAACTGTGACAGGGGGTCATCTCAAGGCCGATCACAACATTGGTCCACCCACCTGTCTAGGGCAGTCTGCCCACCTGACTTGTTTGCCACGCCTTTGTCGTAATTAACAAGTTGTTTCTAGGCAGGAGGCTGTCCCTTTAATGCCCTAATGCCAAGGGCATAATACACAGCTCTGACCTACTCTTTACTGTGTCACAGATTCATAGATTGTAAGGCTGGAAGGGACCTCGGAAGATCATTGGGTCCAGCCCCCTGCATCAAGCAGGAAAGATAACTGGGGGTCAAGTGACTTCAGCAAGGTGTCTAGTCTTCTCTTGAAGGTTTACAGGGTAGGTGATTGCACCACCTCTGGAGGGAACTTATTCCATAGTCTGAACACCCTGACTGTGAAAAAGTTTTTCCTAATGCTGAGCCTGAATCGATTTTGAAACAGTTTGTGGCTATTACTCCTAGTTTTCCCCTCAGGTGCCCCAGGGAACAGTTGCTCACCAAGGCCTTGATGTACTCCCCTAGTATAGCAGTAAGCTGCTACCAGATCCCCTCTCAGCCTTCTTTTCCTCAGGCTGAAGAGTCCCAAATCCCTCAGCCTTTCCTTATATGGCTTGCCTTTTAAGACTCTGATCATATGGGTGGCTCTTCTTTGGACTCTCTCATGCTTGTCCACATCCTTGTTAACGTGTGGTGCCCAGAACTGGATGCAGTACTCCAGCTGCAGTCTCACCAGTGCTGAGTAGAGCAGAAGAATCACCTCCTTGGTTTTGCTGGAGATGCATCGATTGATGCATGCCAGAGCATTATTTGCCCTACTGGCTACAGCATCACACTGCCGGCTCATATTCATACTGTGGTCTGTTATTACCCCCAGATCCCTTTCATTCATGGTGCTAGTCAGTTTGGTGCTGCCAAGCCTGTAGGTGTGTTGGGGGTTGCTTGTCTCGAGGTGGAGCACTTTACATTTCTCAATGTTGAATTTCATCAGGTTCCAATCTGCCCAACTTGCTAGCCTGTCTAGGTCCGCCTGTAACTGTAGCCTATCTTCAAGCGTGACCACTCTTCCCCATAACTTGGTATTGTCCACGAACTTGGCCAGTGAGCTCTTCACACCCACATCCAAATCGTTAATAAAGATGTTGAAAAGTACTGGACTGAGCACCAACTCCTGTGGGACACTGCTGCCCTCTTCTTGCCAGGATGACACAGATCCACTCACTATGACTCTCTGGGTCCTATCTTGCAGCCAGTTTCTCACCCACCTGACTGTCTTGGAGTTAAGCCCACAATCCTCCAATTTTCTCGCGAGGGCATTGTGGGATACTAGATCAAAGGCCTAGGCAAGACCTGCCCAGGACCAAGCCATGGCTGTCATTCAGAATCTTACCTTCTGCAAGCTTATCGCAGATAGATTCCTTGATGAACTTTTCTAGGATTTTCCCTAGGATGGAAGTTAGGCTGATTGGCCTATAGTTACCTGGGTCCTCCCTCCTGCCCTTTTTGTGGATGGGCATAACACTGGTCTTCTTCCAGTCCTCAGGGACTTCTTCAAAGTGCCACAAGTTGTGGAAGAGTTTTGCCAGGGGTTCTGCAGGAACTTTGGCCAGCTCCTTCAGCACTCTTGGATGAAGATCATCTAGTCCTGTTGACTTGTATATATCTAATTTTATTAACTGGTCATAAACCAATTCTATGGCAATAGTAGGAAGGCAATTATTCCTACCATGCTCATCCTCTACTCTACATGGCGTGGTTTTCCCTTTGGTCCACTGAAAGACCAAGGTGAAGTAGTCATTCAGGAGTTCAGCTTTCTCCTGGGTGCCAGTAACCAGCTCTCCTAAGTTGCTGAGCAATGGGCCCACACTCCCATTTGTTTTCTTCCTGTTCCCCATGTACCTAAAGAAGGACTTCTTGTTCTCCTTGCAGGTGTTATACTACTATTGTCACCTCTGTGTGCCCCTCTGACACTGGTCCCTCTGGTCCCTGTGCCTCCATGCCCCTCTGGCGCCAGGCCCTACACAATAGGGTGCCTTGCCCACTGGGCACTAATGAGGCCTCTGCCTCCCTTTATAGTCTCATCCCAAAACCACCAGCCTAAACAATAATACAAGCACAAGCCCCTTGGCTACAACCCAACAATAGCAAAGGAGACTGTGTTTTGCCCCTTTAAGAAGGCAAAACTTCCACCCTATGATAGTGTGTCTCCTAGCCCTGGGTACCTTGTAGGCTTCTGGAGCCCTAGTCCTTGTAGGTAGTAAAGCAGGCGACCGAACATCTCTTGGTAATTTTCTAAGGCTGGGCTCCTTCCCTTGGCACTCGCCAGAGAGCGTGAACCCTGCTAGCTCCAGCCCTGAGCTTATGTCCCTAAGGCCCTGCCTCCCTCTGGTGGTCATGGTCTGCAGGTGCTAGCCAATTACCCCATTAGGCAGCTGCTCAGGCAGCTGCAGGGCTTCCTGGCCAGGCTGCTTCAGCCCTTAAAGGAGCAGGAACATCTTAGTGCCCTGCTACACCCCGCACAATACTGCCCACTCTGTCCCGCCATTCCAGGTTTATATCTATTTTCTCTGTGTGATATCTTGAATCTGTCTCTGGGCAGAGCTCAGACACCTTGTGAATTTGCACAGGGATGTTTCTGGTCTGTTTTTGGCTTCATTGAGCCCTCAGGACCAGGACGATATATTTTGAGCACTTGTGCCAGGGCTGGATAAATACCAAGGGTCTTCTCTTCCATGGGCATACAACCTTGCATTTATCCATGCCCCTTAGCTGCCCACCTCTGCAGCACAGGAAAATCTTTCTGCAGTTTTTGCTACCTACTGTGGAGTTGGCAACCTGGAATCACCTTGAATCTTGGCAAATGTTGTCATCTCCCTATTTATTCCCTATTCCGGCTATTTATGAGTATGGGAAACAGTCCAGGTCTCAACCCAGAGCCCTGAGGAACCCCCTGTAATCTTCCTCCCTTGCACTGTGTGTGTTAGTGTGGACAGTTTTTGGTTGTGGTGGGGACTTGGGAACTGGGTGTGTTGAAGGAGTCAGGGGGTCTCTGTGTGGAGAAGTGGCATGTGTGTGTATGAGGGACTGTGTGAAGAGGGCAGTGGAGGGTGTGTGTGTGTAGGCACATAGATGAGCCTATGAACTTCACTTCATTAATCTACTGGATACAAAAAATCATGGACTTATAGACACTGGATTTATGACACATTACAACCTTCCTGACATCTGATACACCAGGTAACCTGCCTCAAGATGACCACTTGCTTTTGTTCACACATTTCCCTCCCTCCCCCCACATCTGTACCCAACACCTTGCTGGAGTTATTTGATCCCAGCAGTCTTTGCCGCCCAAAGCAGAGGGGCTGGACTTGATCTCACGAGGTCCCTCAGCTCCTAAACTTCTGTGAATCTGTAAATGTCTTCTAAACTTCCACTCATTTGCATTTTCATAGACTTCTTGTTAGACTTTAGCTTCTTTTCTACCTTGAATAACACATAACAGCAGCAGAGTCTCCCAATGCCTAAAGAAGGGTGCTTGTGACCAAAAGCTTGCAAAGAGCTTTTTTCCAACTATTTAGTTGGTCTAATAAAAGATAGCTACCCAAAGAGCCTTGCCTGCCTATGTCCTTAGACCAACACGGCTACAACCAACAACCCTGTAGGCACATATAGAATTGTGTGGGGGGAAGGGAGGTGGGATATATGTGTGAACAGAGGACAGTGAAAGGGGAGGTCTGTGTGTGGGGGTAGCAGGGGGTCTGCATGCATGGGGAGGTGAGGGGTCTGTCTACAGAGGGCAGTGGAAAGGGAGGCTCTGTGGGTGGTGGAGATCTCTGGGGGGAGGAACTGATGGGGAGTGTTTGTGTTCAGAGCGGTTGAGGAGGTTTTCAAGGAGCTGCAAGAGAGTTGGAGGGCTCTGTAGAGTGGTGGTGGAGGGCTGTCAGGGGCAGTGGAGTGGTTATGTGTGGGGGTGTTAGGGTGCTCTGTGTGTGAGGAGAGGACAGTAGGGTGTTGTGAGGAGTCTGGGGGCAGTGGAGGGGTTCTGTCGGCCTCCTGTGTATGTAAGGACATGTGGAGTAAGGAGGGGTTGGGGTGGTGTGGCTGGTAGTGGGAAGGTCAGTGCAGAGAAGTCATGGTGTGAGGGAAACAGGGCATTCTGTGGGGACTGTGGGATTTGCAGGGGAGCACTGGGGGCTCAGTGCCAGGGGCTGGGGGGCTGGTGAGGGCAGCATGCGGGTTGCAGGAGGAGATCTGTGTATGCTCATGCAAGGGCAGCAGAAGAGGGGAGGGGTGTGGGGGGGGCAGCTGAAGGAAAGTACCATGTGTTTCTTCTGATAAAAATAGGATCCCCTAGCGGGGGGGGCATGCCAAGGGCAGTGATACAATGAGCTAGGCTGACAGTTGCAGCCCACAGTGAGCCCACAAGCCCTAGGAAGCAGCCAGCAGGTAGGTGCAGCCTCAGCCCAGCATTGCTTGCCAGCCCAGGGGTTCAGGCACCAGCAGAAACCCAGAGATGTGGGAGGGGTCACAGAGGGGCTGGCACCAGGTTGCCCCCAGCAGGCACCAATGGATCAGACTGGAGCCCCCCATCCTCCATAGACTGCTATCCTGCTGAGGACCCCCTGGCAATTCCTGTACTCACCCCCACAGTACCTGTGCCAGGCCCTGGGGGGACACAAGGCCATAAGGGCTTGGGGTTGGGATGGCAGGTGGGCCGTGTGGTGGGAGTAAGGAGCTCCGACAAAGCTGGGAGGACCCCAAGGCTGTGCTAGAAGGGGGCTGTGGGTCAGGAGTGAGGGGCACCAGCAGAGTCAGGAGTGGGTCATGAGTGCAGGACTATGCTTGGTTGAACACCCAACATGGGGTGAGGGTGCTTGAATAGGGGACCAGGTTGGTGACCACAGTTTTGCCAAGGGGGCCCCACAGTGAGAGGCAGGAGTATATTTAGCTGGTGCTGGCATTCATGCACTCCCCCCTCCCGCAGCACCCATGCTTCTCTCCCCACCCCCACCTGGTGCAGGTTTTAGTGCTTGAGTCACTGGCCTGATCCAGTCATGGGTATTTGGGGTTTGTTTACTAGGTAACAGGAGGGTCCGGTGCTGCCCCCTGCCTTAAAGGGCCAGATTCTAGCCTGTTGGGAAAGGGTTAAAAGCCCTCACCTTGCTCCTGCTTCCTGTTTACATACCCCACCACACCCCCACCCTCTCTTCCTAGACCTGGCAATAGTGTGGCCAAGGTAAGTAGAGGCCATGAGGGGCGATTTGCAGGTGAGCACAGGGCTCTGGGCAGGCTGGACGGTATTCTTTGCACAGCCCAAATCTGACCCTCCTACCTCTGGTCTCCTTGCAGAGATGGAGCCACAGGAAGCTGTGCCCCTCCCCACACCAGCAACAAAGCAGCCCAGGCCCTCGGAGGCTGATGGCACAGCAGGAGAGAGTGCGGAAGGGATGGCGGGGATGCACGCCAAAGAGGCAGCACTGGGGGACAAAGGGCTGGGGGGAGCAGAGGATCATGGGGGTGAGGCCAAAGGGAGCAGTGGGGCAGTAGTAGAGGATGCTGGGAGTGAGGCCAAGGGGGGCAGTGGGGCAGTAGTAGAGGATGCTGGGAGTGAGGCCAAGGGAGGCAGTGGGGCAGTAGTAGAGGATGCTGGGAGTGAGGCCAAGGGGGGCAGTGGGGTAGTAGTAGAGGATGCTGGGAGTGAGGCCAAGGTGGGCAGTGAGGCAGGAGGAGCAGAGGATGCTGGGAGTGAGACCAAGGTGGGCAGTGGGGTGGGAGGACCTGAGGTGAGAGCAGAGGAAGGTGTGGGCTCCAAAGCAGTGGAGACAGCAGGAGTAGGAGTGTCTGGGGCTGAACCCCAGGAAGAAGCAGCTGGGACCAAACCAGAAAAGGAGGTGGCTGAGGAGCGTGGGGCTGGAGCCCCAGGCAAAGAGGTGAGTGCTCCTCCTGTGCCTGCTGCCCGCACCTCACCAGGGCCAAGCGTGACCTGGAGGTGCTGCCTGCACCCGTGCATCCCCCAACTGGGAGTCATGTGCAGCTCGCACACTGGTGTGTGAGGAACACTGAGCAGGGGGCAGGGAGGCTGCCCCACTTGTGGTGCTAGGGTGTTGGAGTAAATCTCCCCACCAGGAAAGTCAGGAACCCTCCTAGAGCAGAGGTTCCCAAACTTTTTCTTATTGCATACCCCGTTCCAGATTAACTAGCTACGGGTATATGTGTTATATTTTAGTGCCTTAAATGTCAATTATTATTATACTGAAAATTAAATCTGCCATGACAATTTCTCTCATGTTCCCCCCAGAGGTGTCTTGTGTACCCACAGAGGTACATATACCACAGTTTGGGGACCTCTGAAACAACTGGGGGTGATGGGGATGGCTGAGCAGACCTAGGAGTCCCGAGCTGTGGGGGTGAGGATGGTCCCATAAAGGCTTTACCCTTCCCCCACCCCAGGAGCGCACTGCCAGCACTTCAGAGGAGCCAGTGTCCCTAGACCTGGGGGAAGAGGAGGAGTACTGGCCTGAGCTTGCACCCAGCTCCCCTGATCAGGGCCCAGCCAGCCCCACAGGCAGCACTGTCTTTGCCCAGGACACAGGGGGCTCACAGTCAGGTAAGGGCAATGGGCATAGGGGACAGGGGTGAGGGAGGGACAAGACATCCAGTGTGCGTGGAAGGGAGCAATCAGCCTACACAGCCCCCCCCTTCCCTCTCTCCCCCTGACACAGGGTCACTTCCAGCATAGCTGCCTCCCACCTCCCCCCCAGCCCCAGCTCCGGTTCCCGGTTAATCCCATTGTGGGTGATGTCTTGATCTGTTTTTAACTCTCTAAATTCCTTCTAGAAGGTGCTTCCAAGGGCCAAGAGGGCAGTGCCAGGTGAGTGTACCCATCATCCCATGTCAGCTGGGACCTAAGGGCTGGTACATGCCCTGCCTATTGGGATGGGGGTGGTCCCTGTGCAGCACAACGACCCTAGTGCCAGGCTGCAGTATTGGAGCTGGCATACAGCCTGGGGCTACACTTAGTGTCCCCATAAGACACAGCGCCCTTAGTGCCAGGCTGAGGAGTTGGGGCTGTTGCACTGCCTGGGTCTGCCGCTGGGGCATGGGCAGCGTCCCAAGTGCCAGGTTGCAGTTTTGGGACAGCAACATGGCATGCAGCTCAGGATGGTGTCTCTATGCAGCCCTGCTAGTGCTGAGCTGGGAGCTGGCAGACAGCCAGGGTGAGAAGATGGTAACACTGCCACACAGCACCCCTTGGCCAGGCTGGGGAGCAGTGCAGAGCCAAGGTTCAGGCATGGTTCTTCTAGCAGCATGGTGCCCCTTGGCCATAGGCTGGTGCTGGTGCACAGCCAGGGCATGGGGCTGGTATCCATTGCTGCACAGCTGCCCCTAATGCCAGGCTGGGGTCAGGCATGCAGCTGGAGTGCGGGGCACCGGGTGGTTTCTCCAGCATGATGCTCTTGCTCCACAGTCCCCATCTCTGACATGCCCTCCCTTTCTCCCCAGCCCTGGTGAGGCAATGCAGCAGCCCAGGGAGCGGAGCACCGCACCTGAGGGAGCAGCACCCCCCAAAGAGAAACCGAAGCGGCCAGCACTGGATCGGAGGGAACTGACCCGGCCCCGCCTGGGCCCCAGGACTCAGTCCCGCAAGGCCATCGTGGAGAAGTTTGGGGGGTGCGGCACCTCTTGGTGACCCTTGGAGCACTTCCAGCCCCTCCAGGACTATGGGGAGTGGAATAGGGGAGTGATTTGCCAGCAGGCCACCCTGCCATAAGGCATTGGGACAAAGTACTTGGGATCCCCCCTCACAACAGCATAACTCCATGGAGGGCTTGGGCGGGGGGTGGGATCTGGCAGGGGTACCCTCCCAGGTATGGGATAATACAGCACCACTTCCAGCTCCTGGGTGGGCTCTTCCATGGCCAGGCCCCTTCTAGTCCCACTTGACCTTGGTGGGACAGAGGTGGAGGGAGGGTCTTCTCTAGGCTGGAGAAGTACAGGAGAAAACCCTGTCCCTGTGCCAGCTCTGGGACCATTTTAGAAGGTCAGGGGGATTTCTTTTCCCATCCCTCCCCTCCAGGGCAGCCAGTGGTCCTGCCCCAAATATCAAGCGGACGGGGGGCACCAATGCCATCAAGAACATGCTGCTGGAATGGTGTCGCGCAAAGACCCGTGGTTATGAGGTAAGGGGCTGGGGAGCAAGAGGCAACCAACGGGCTGAGGCAGGATGCGGTGCCCACATCAGCAGGAGCATGACCACTATAATGCCAGCCAGTATGGCACAGCCTGATGACCCCCTGCCCCACAGCCACTGTCCAGCCCTGGCCCAGGTGGTGTGCTGGAGGTATGCAGAGGCAGGAGGACAGTGCCTGAAACCCAACAGACTGGGCCACCAGGCACTGGCACCACACAGCCCCTGGCCGGCTGCTCTGCTGCCCCCTCTCCCCTCTGGCTATGGATGGGCGCCAGGGCAAAATGGTGTCTGCCATGAGCCATGGGTACCAGCCGAGAACAGACCACCAGCTGTTCTGGTCAGGCTTAGGCTTCTCCTGGGCCTGCAGGAGTGATGTCAAGGGGTAGGGGTGTGAACAGAGTGAGGAGGGTAGTACAATGAGAACTCATAGTCTGACGACTTTTCCCTTTCTTCCATTCCCTTCTCCATGCCCGTGCCCACCCCAGCACGTGGACATCGTGAACTTTTCCTCCAGCTGGAGCAGCGGCTTGGCCTTCTGTGCCCTGGTGCACAAGTTCTTCCCTGATGCCTTTGACTACGCAGCCCTCACGCCCGAGAACCGCAGGGAAAACTTCACCTTGGCCTTTGCCACCGCTGAGTGAGTGCCCACCTGGAGGTCCTCTATGAGCCACATTTGAGTCGAGAGCTGAGCCCCTCAGAGGCAGGGGCAACAGGGGGCAGAGCCTGCACTGCCCAGCCCAATCTTCCCCAGTAGGGGGCCTGCCCTGCCTACTAGGGGAAGTTACAAGGGCAGAGGGCACATGCCCTCCCACAATGCACCTGGCAAAGCTTTTGTTGCCAGAAGGCCCTCTTGCTGCAACTGCACTAATTAGCCGATTAGATGATTAGCAGGGTGTTCCTTTTGTGGCTTGATTGCTCTCCCTATGAGCTGGCAAACTCACAAGAGCCACGAGCCACAGCTGCTTCCTTCCCAGCCAGCCCAAGAGCATGGACCCAGCCCCAGGGCCAGACCTGCCCATGCCATGGTGAGACCAGGGCATCCAGGGGCGACCAGCAAAGCTGGTAAAGCACCAGGCAGCTCCTGGGAAGTGTCCTCCAGACTGCACTGAGTGGCCTGGCTGAGCCCTCCTTCTCCCAGACATCCTGCCCATTGCCTTCTGCTCAGAGGAGCATGCCCCAAGCCACAGCCCTGGGCCCTGGTGTTCAGGCTCCTGGGCACGGGTCCACAGCAGGGGGTGGAGTGAGCCATCCATGTTGGCTGGCACCAGTAGGCAGAGAAGCCAGGCTGGGGTAAAAGGAGATGAGTGCCTGCCCTTTCTGCCCACAGGAAGCATGCCGACTGTGCCCCGCTGTTGGAGGTAGATGACATGGTGCGCATGAGTGTGCCTGACTCCAAGTGTGTCTACACCTATCTCCAGGAGCTGTACCGTAGCCTGGTAAACAAGGGGCTGGTGAAGACCAAGAAGCGGTGAAGCAGGGCAGGGCCCACACTGGGGAAGGGGAGAGACCCAGCACCTGCAGAGACTGCCCACAGGCATGGGGGAGGAGGGTGTTCCCACATTCCCAAACACAAAGCCTCTGCCCCATCTGCCAAGGACAACTGCAGCCTGAGGGGCTACTGGGCTGTGGCTTTGTCCTGCTAGGTCTCCTACAGCAGCATCCTCCTGCCCCAGGAGGTGGAGAGGCTCTTCCTGCTAATGCAGAGCAGACTGGGTGAGAGGCTCAGGGATAGCGGGGTGTTGCTGCCATCCCAGTTCTGCTAGAACCCAGAGTCCCCCCACCAAGTGCTGTTGCTTCTACAGCCCTGGTCCAGTGATGGGAGTGGGGGCATCACTGTGGGTCCCAGATGTTTATGAGCCTGGCTTTGCTTTCAATGTGAGGGATGGAGTTGCTAGATACCAAGACAGTCCGTTACAGAGGTGGAGAAGACCTGCAGATGCCGTGCAGTCCCCTCTAGACTGGCAGATCATTTGGACTGCCCCTGCCTGCCAAGAAAGTAGCCGGTGGCAGGCACAGCACGTTTCTCATGGGTGCCCCAAAGCAGCTGGGATGGTAGCAGCTGGCAGGGACCACGCTAAGCTGTCCTCCTGCCCCAGAAGCCGAACACCCTGTGCCCTACAGATGTCACCCTCCCCTTGGCCAGAAAGACATGTGCTCCCCCTCAGCACCACCTCATGCATCTCCTCCCCTGGGAGTCCTCTCCAGGCATCTGTTTGCTATGTCCACAGCAGGTGCATAACCACAGCTAGCATGTGCATGTGTTCAAGCCATTAAAGCAGGTCTACTCTGAGCTCAAGTAGCTGCTGTGCAGTTCTTGGGGTCAGTTGATCAGAGGCATATGGAAGGCTCTGCCTACACATCCTGCAGCCACATTCCTTCCCTGCAGTCAGATGGGCATGACCATCCAGGCAGTACAAGAGCAGGGTGCCTCCTACAGAAAGGCACATCTGTGCTGAAGTTTAAGGACTGCATTAGTGCCCTGTCATGCTGTTCCCTGTCTCCAAGCCAGCCTGTAAAAGATCCTGGGCCTCCTCCCTACCAGTGCCTAGGGCTGCAAGGAGGGTGGGAGGGGAAGTGAGAAGGGCTGGTGCTGCCCCCTGCTGACACAGCCTCATAGAATCATAGAAGGTCAGAAGGGACTTTGTAGATCATCAACCAAGGTCAAGTCCAACCCCCTGCCTGGGCAGGAGGAAAACTGGGCTCAAATGATCCCAGCCAGGTAGGCATCAAGCCTCTTCTTAAAGACCCCCAGGGTAGGAGCCAGCACCACTTCCCTTGGAAGTTGGTTCCAGATTCTAGCTGCCCTAACTGTGAAGTAGTTCCTACGGATGTCTAATCTAAACCTACTCTCCAACAACTTGTGGCCGTTATTCCTTGTTATCCCGGGGGGCACTAGGGGAAACAAGGTCTCTCCCAACCCCTTCTGGTCCCCCCTAGTGAGTTTATAGACGGTCACCAGGTCCCCCCCTCAGCCTTTTCTTGTGAAGGCTGAACAGGTTCAGGTCCCGTAGCCTCTCATTGTAGGGTCTGCCCTGCTGTCCCCGGATCATTGGGGTGGCCGTCCTCTGGACCCTCTCGATGTTGTCCACATCCCTCTTGAAGTGGGATGCCCAGAACTGGACACAGTACTCCAGCTGTGGCCTGACCAGTGTTGCGTAGAGGGGGAGGATCACCTCCTTGGCCCTACTTGAGATGCACCTGTGGATGCATGATAGGGTCCGGTTGGCCCTGCCGACTGTGACCTCGCATTGTCAGCCCATGTTCATCTTGGAGTCAATAATGACTCCAAGATCCCTTTCTGCCTCTGTGCTCTCAAGAAGGGAGTTTCCCATCTTATAAGTGTGCTGATGGTTACTAATGCCCAAGTGCAGCACCCTGCACTTGTCCGTATTGAAATGCATCCTGTTTTTGTTAGCCCACCCCTGCAAGCTATCCAGGTCTTGCTGCAGTCTTTCCCTCCCTACTAACGTGCCCACCTCACCCCAAATTTTGGTATCATCAGCAAATTTGAACAGGTTGCTTTTCACCCCATCGTCCAAATTGCTGATAAAGAAATTGAACAGTGCGGGCCCAAAGACCGAGCCCTGGGGGACTCCACTGCCCACTTCCCCCCAGGTCGAATATGACCCGTCCACCACCACCCTCTGAGTACGACCCTTCAGCCAATTTGCAATCCATCTGACTGTGTAGGCATCGATGCCACAGTCGCCTAGTTTTTTAATGAGGATGGGGTGGGAGACAGTGTCAAAGGCCTTGCTGAAGTCCAGAAAGACTACATCCACAGCAACACCTGCATCCAATGCTTTTGTGACCTGAGCCTCAGTTCTGTTTGGTACAGAAGAACAGGAGCATCTCCAAAAGCCAACCTCAAAAGCAAGAGGCTGTAGCTGCCCACTGGTATCAAAGTCCTTCACTCCTGCACTACCAGCCTGAAGCCAGGACTGAGGGCAGAGGCTGGCATAGGGGTTGGGAATGGTCCAACCCTGGGAGCTTCTGCTCTGACATCATCTCCGATGCAGCAGGTGGGACTCCCAACACCCTCTGGTTTGAACCCACCCCAGACCCCAGCCAAGAGAGGAGCCACATTGGCGTGACACAGGTGGAGCTCGGAGATCATGGTCTGCTTTTATTGGCAAAAATAAACAGCTACTTAACATGTGCTCACAATGAGAAAAACCCACCCCATACAGGAAAAGGAGAGTTTAAAAAAAGATGGAGGTCTTTCACCAAACTCCCCAGCCCAGCACTGCTCTCCCTGTCAGAGTGGGCACAGCTGGCCTGACCTCAGCCTCTTCATACCACCTTCCTCCGTGCCCGGTGCCCAGGTCTCCCTGAGGTCACTTCCTGCTGTGGGTCCCTCCAGGTTCTCCTTTCTTCCTGTCTTGTCGGCTCTCAATTATTAGGCCAGTCTGAACCATGAAAACTGCCTGCTCCACCACCCCCAGATTTCTGCAGCTCAGATCTTAAAGTGCCAAGCAGACAGACAGACAAACACAAAGCCCCACACATATAAACCCTAAACAATCAACATGGAAAAGAGGATTCGTGGCTTAAAGTTCTGGTGCCAGAAGAGAGGCCCCAGTGTCCCCATCAGAGCTGGGGAAGAAGAGAGGAGTCCTCAGCAAAGAGGGGATAGACAGTCAACTGGTGCAGGGAGAGGGACACCATGGGGTAGGGCCCTGGCTCCTCTCCAGGCATAGGGTCTGCAGTGAAGTCAAGGCATGGGCAGCCCCTCCCTCCAGTCAAGGGCAAGGGACATGCTGCAAAGCTCCAGAGAATGCATCCTGCCACCTGTCTCAGTGCATATGTGGAGGTGTCCTGCCCCTGCCCAAGAGGGAGTAGGCACAGGCAGGAGGGAGCAGAGCAGGTTGGCGGGAGGCAGTAGAGAGGGGGTGTCATTCGCCTGGTCTCTTCTCACTGAACTTGCGAGTGTGGTCCTCAGCGTTGCGCATGAAGCGCTTGGGGTCCTGGGTGAACTCGTCGGCCAGGTCAGCACGCAGTGGGTGGTCTGGTTCAGGCTTGTTCACCAGAGAGATCAGGGCCTGGATCACTGCCAAAAGCACCAGGGTGGTCAATGCAGTGTGAGGGGGCAGGGGAACGTGCCCCAAACCAGAAGTGCAGTAAACAGGGTTGGTGCCCTGGACAAACCCTGTGGGCAGGGGGACCATGCACCTGGCTGCTGCTGCAAGAACATGCTGTAAGGCTGCTCTTCCTGTTGGGACCTGGACTCCATGGGGGTGAGAAGCGATTCTGGGACCTCTGGTTAGTGCCACACTCACCCACCCCTCATTATGCTACTGCCCCAAACCACCCCGCCCACCCCAAGTGTGGTACCTCATCCACCGCCCCACTGTACCTGCTTCCAGGCACTAAACAACAAATGAATGCTTGCAGGCCTCGCACGCCCCCTTGACTCCTGTCAAGCTCCAGGAAGGCTAGAGTGAGCAGGGGCCAGGGGAGAGCATGTACCTTGGTCTGTCTTGGTGGCGGGCTTCCAGTTCTCAGCGCTGATGATGGGCAGGCAGACCTGGCCCTTCTCATCCACGTTGGGATGGTAGATCTTGGTCTTGAAGGTGATCTTGGGAGGCTTGAAGGGATATTCAGGGGGGAAGCTGATCTCGATCCGAAACGCGCCTTTGTTGTAGGGAGGGCTGTCCTGGATGCGGGTCAGGAAAGTGGGGAGGGGAGTTACAGAGTGCCATCCAGCCCTAAGGGGCCCTTGAGGCATTAGACTCCAAGGAACTCCTCCGTGTTGACACTAGCCAAGACCCCCAAGAGCAATCCTCCCCTTGTTCAGACCCCCCCCATGCTCACCGGCACCAGGAGCCCCTTCCACAAGAGCACGTTGGTGTCATCCACCTCAATGTCCTGCAGGCAGCGGGACCCCGATCTCTTCATCTCATCCAGCTCCTGCCACAGCAAACACAGACCAATCAGGGACCGTGGCCCACTGCCTGCAGAAGCCTCCCACCTGCGCCTGTCCAGTGCTGCCTTAGACCTCCCACCCCACATCCATGCAGCATGTGCAGCCCTACCTTGTCCCATAATCTCCCAATTACAGGGAGGCTGCGGGGCCGGGTGGGCCCATCAGGTCTCAACCAGTCCCACCCCTCAAGCCCAGGCCCCTCCTGCACAGGGCTCGTATCTGTGTCTTGACAGCCTCACTTCCTGCGCCTGAGCCTGGGGCAGTTTCACCTCGGAGACGTTCAAGGGGCAGTGGGCGCTGGCCGCTGCTCCCCAGCCCTTGTTACCACCCCGCGACCTTCGCTCCCTGCACTCCCTTCTCGCTCTTGCTGTCCCAAGGGATTTCGTGGGCACCCAGCAGCCTCCCCGGCTGAGGGAGGCGCATTGCCGGCGGCCTCGGCCAGCTGCGCGAGGAACGGGCCTGCGCCCGAAAGCCCGGAGCAGAGCCGCGGGGGAGGACGCGCC